GAAAGATTGTTTTTGTGCATTAACACAAAAGAAAAGTAAAGTCGAACATATTTATTTGGATTCAAAAATGCTTGAAGGAGTATATACATTTCTTACAGGTGGTTTATTTTCATATGTCATTTCAGGTTTTATGTTTCAATAAAAGGATTTAATGTTTAAAGTAACGAAATCAGTTTTGAAAAGAGCAATGTTTTGTACAGATTGAAGTGCATAATATTGTTGAATTATTTGCAGAAAATAGCTGCATTTGTATACAGTGTATCTGAGTAATTGCTTTCATTCGAACAAATATATACTGATAATCGAGTAAAAACACAAAATTTCGTTTACAGTCATATTGAATGGTTTCCAATCGTGAAAAACTAACACATCGTTAACATTTGAAAAAAGGGTGAGAGTTGGTGTGTCCATGTGAGTGTAGTTGATCCTTTAATATACACTTAAGTTCATTCAGAAACTTAGATTTCGAGTACCTATATCTATTTTCTGAGTATCAAAATTGAAAATTTCTTTTTATTAATGACAATAAAATAGCTTTCAGATTATATTATGCATATTTAATGCCGAAAATTTCAATCGGAAGTTTCTTTAGTTTTTCGTTGTTATTCAACTTAATTCGTGTACAGTTTGAAGTATTATACAAGAAAACTCTAAAATGTGTCTCTATTGAACAACCTAATATTGTTCGTCGATAATTGACAAAACATTGAATAAGATCTCAATTATAATCAAAATGATTTCTTTTTGAGTGTTACATTGATCTTCAAAATTATTTCATGTATCTTTTTAAATATTTCTATAAAAAATTATTTTCTTAGAATGTCTCAGAGAAATGATTATATTTAAATTCTTTTTTTTTATTTTTCAAATTGATGCGAAAACAAAAAAGAACAAATTTGATTGTACATCAAAATTTACAAAAGGTTCTATTCTATACAGTGTTTTTTTAGATCTATTTGTTTAGTCTTTTTAATATTATTTCAGTATTTTTATATTGTAGATATTGAAATCCCAGTTCAGAGTTATGCTGTGTGATTTTATTTTTAGTATAATCGATAAGTGAACCTGTTTTTCAACTTACTTGTTTTTATTAGAATAGTCAAACACTTTCTTGAGGATCAAATGACAACTAAAAAGACTAGTCGCTTTTTCTGATCATGGCGGCATATCTGATCTAGACTTTTGTACAAAAAGTCCTCTATCATGACTATTCCTAAATCTTTCTAGATCTGTAATCTACATTTTGGTTACTTCACTGATCGGCATCATTTTATTTTTAATATCTAGTCATTGTTGAAAAAAACTATTGGACATGGTCTATCGCTCTGACATACGTCCTGAGGATGCTACAGAGAACAAATAATAATTTAATATTCTCGTAGAGCCCAGAGTAGTCTAAACGATTAAAGTATAAATTCAGAAGGTTAGATTTTGACATGTATTCCATATAACAATTATCTAAAATTTAGTCAATTGAAATGTATGATCAAGCAGTTTACTTCTACATGTCGATAAATATTCTGATATGTTGTTCAGCATAATTTCATCTGAAGATTTTACAAGTTTTCATATAAATAAAGAATTTCTATAGTAGAGCGCAAAAGACTAATTTAGAACTGTTGTTTTTTATAATTTAAATTAGCAGAATTTATATTTAAAACAGAATTAAATCATCGTCTAAGCAGATTAGTCTTTTAAACAAAAATCATTTCTAATGCAGTTCACAATCTAACAAATTTTAAAGCGCATAAAAGATGACACTCAATGAGAAATAAATTGCGGGTGTTGGTGTTCATTTCAAGCGGATCTCCACCCACATTCTGCTTTTAAACCCGGTTTTTCCGTACTTTTTGCTTTGTTGTTCGCCAATTGCAATTATTCGTATTGCTTTAATTCGCAGTTATTTCAAACAACAATTTCTTTTGCACGTTCTGGGATAACGATAAGGATGAAAAATACTTAGGACATACCAAAATTAGTGGTGTCGATCCTGCAATATTTTACAGAAGGGTTTAAGAAATTTGTTCTCCATATATTCTGATAGTGCAAGTCGTGCTCTATAATTCTATGGTATTTTATAAATCTTCCAGTGATATCATATAAGCAAAAGTTTTGATACTTTTAAGTTTTCTGAAGCTTTTATAAATTATCATTTTGCCAACAACACCCAAAAAAAACAGAGCACGTGTGTTTCATATATATAAACGAAGAGAATACGTACATGAATGTCCTTTAAAAAATGTCCTGGACAAAATGCCCCCGAGTTTTTGTCCTCGGTAAAAAATGTGCGCCGAAATTTTGTCCTTTAAAAG